ACAACGTAAGGAACGGCAGGTTTTTGAAGTTATGTGATTTTGGTTTGGCTACAGTTCACGACAAACGCATTCACTACAAGACTACACGTAAACATACGGCAGATATCGGGGACATGAGATACCAGGCGCCGGAAGTTGGTCAGGGTAGAAAATATGGTCATAAATCAGATATTTATAGCCTGGCACTAATTGGTGGTAATATATTTGACGTGGACGTGTCACTTATTGATTTAGATAGGTAAAACATTTTCTTTAATGTTAATTGTCAAAATAAAAATATGTTTAATAATTTAGTCCACAACCGTATTCAACAATACATACTCTCCTAAACTCGTCGGCACTTGAGTTAGTTGCAAACTCTATTGGACTCAATGGTGACCCACAAGTGGCCTAAACGTACGGAATGTAGTGAAGTGTTGCAGAAATATAACGAGTGGTCTATCGATAGGAATATTGTGGCAAACGATACAGAATTTGAGTCCACATTATATAGACTGAAATCCAATGAAAACTCATTTTTCTATCAATTTTTAACGACTATTATTAGACACAAAGACTGATAAAGTCTAAACTAGTTGACACATGGGATCGCATGGTGCCATAGGGCGAGGGGTGTTGTCGACACCCAGTAGTCTAAAAATAGCCTAGGTAGACTACTCGGGTGAAACATACATTTTGCACCTTTTATATTTTCTCTTTATTTTACTTAATTGTTTAATTAACTTATATATATATTTCGTTTATTTAATTCATTTCTACTGTAATAATAAATAATTTATTATAAACTATAATTAATATACAGTATATTTCGGTATCAATTTGTTAGGTTTTGTTATTCTGTTCCCAACACTGAGTTTAACCTTGGTCAAATAAATGACATTGCTTTAAATTTGTAACTTATATGACATATAAATGACCATCGTCACATAAATATGGTTTTTATTCATATAAATAACGCACCCATATAAATCTATGACATTTATGTTAAATAAATTGCATTTAAATTATAAATAAAGTCTTTTCTAAGTTGTAGTGACACTTGTAGTTCCGCTCGTCATATCAACACAATTCATATATCTTTAACTTTAATCATATTTTCACGAGACATACCTTTCCGGTGTAGGGGTGGGCATCGACTCCATTAACCCCTTTGTTTGCGGCCACGTATTTGAATGCGTGTTGAGGCAGCCCTACGATCCCCCAGTGATTGCTATTATATATATCACTCTTTTCATGTCTTTACCGACAATACAACACCTCTTTCGCAACCAAATGAACCCAAATCTTGGGAGTAATCCATGAAATTCTGTTCACTGACTGTGAGCTGTCTCTTGGGGTCAAACCTTCCCGTCCGCTATCAGTCTATTCATGTTATGACCCAAAAGAGGTATAATTCATACAAACTCTTGATATGATTGCAGCAAATGAATGGACAGACTATCAAGAAAAGAGGCGGCCGTGATACTCCAACACGAACCACATTTACTCTGGTTTTTATATATTATAGATAGGGTTACATGAGATATATAATAATGCATACAATATATGAGACACACCAAGCTGACTAGGAAAGGGACTCCTATTACATACAAATGGAGTTGTGTTCAGAGAGTCTGCGGAATATTCTTAAACACAAACCCAAAGAATTTGGTCGACAATCAGGAGAATCAATGAATTGTTACGAGTATTTCATTTCGTGTGAAATATTCCGAGAGATCTTAGAATGTGTTCAATATTTGCATGAATTGAATCCACAGATCATTCACAGAGACCTCAAATTCGACAATCAGGAGAATCAATGAATTGTTACGAGTATTTCATTTCGTGTGAAATATTCCGAGAGATCTTAGAATGTGTTCAGTATTTGCATGAATTGAATCCACAGATCATTCACAGAGACCTCAAACCCCACAATATATTGATTGATAGGAACGGACGGAACGGAAGATTTGTTAAGTTATGTGACTTTGGTTTGGCTACACTTCACGACAAAAGTAAACATACTTCAGATGTGGGAACAATTGGGTTTATTGCCCCAGAAGTGGTAGAGGGTCTCAAATATAACAACAAGTGCGACGTCTATAGCCTGTCTATAATAGGGAAAAAAATATTTGAATTTGATTTTTCTAACATCGAACCTGACAAGTATATTACTTAACATATAATACATTATTTTTATAAATGTATAATTATTAATTTCTTTCATTTAATAGTTTACAACCGTATTCGTCAAATAACCATGGTTTGAATGAGCCTGTATCAATTTTACAAAAATTACTACTTTTAATGCAAACCACACCTCAATGGCCTAAACGTCCGGAATGTAGTGAAGTGTTAGCGAAATATAACGAGTGGTCTATCGATAAGAATATTCTCGCAAATGATCCCACATTTGAGTCAACATATAATAGACTTCATTTAAATCCGGATTCATTTTATGATAAATATTTTCAAAGCTTAATCCAAACAAAAATTACCTCTCTTCCTATAAAGGAAAAAGTCCTGCTACTATTGTAACTAAGGTTGCATGGAG